CATGCCATATATTACCTCTCTAATTTTTTTGGTAAATTGTGAGAAAACAAAGTAAACCCAGGTATCTGGGATGATCTGTAAAGTTCTCCTTAGCAAGGCTGATCTTTACTTTTTCTGGAGATCTTGAAGAACTCGTTATTCTGATGACAAGAGGGATTTTTTTTTTTTTTAATTTTTATTTTTTTTTAATGGATACAATCAATATGAGTTATGTTCCATTAGTGCCCAGGTAAAATCCTTGAAATTTACCCTCCAGAGACCAATGTGGTTATGCAAAAGAATACTGCCTGGTACCATAATGGCATGGGAAAATAACTAAAACAGGTGGATGCCCCACAGCAGTGCTAATAGCAAGGCAGCCAAGGCCAGTAATAGTGGAGCAGCACATCTACTGTTGGCTTTGCTGTAATGTAACCTTTCTACTGCTGTCTTTGAATCTACACTCATGCCGAGTTACCCTGTAACTTAGTTTGCATCCTTCTATTTCTTTTTTTTCTTTTTTTCCTTTGCTTCATGAGATAGGCTTCTTCCTGAGGTATAATTGTGGTATCAGCCTAAAGGGCTGAAACTGCATCTCAAACCACAGTAGGCAGTATGTCTATCTGATTGATCATCATAAAGTAGTGGCAGCGGAAGGCAAAGTCATCGGCACTGAATGTTCTAAGAAGGCCCTTTTTGTACTGAGATTAAGCTATCATGAAATATTTATGCTCACTTCTGCATGTGCTTCATTGTCTGTTGGATATGCGCTTAGAAAGAGTTTGCTTAACCAATATAATACTGCCATCAGTGTTATGATGCAGGAGCTAGTGAGTTTATGCCAACAGTTAATTTTTGTTCTTAAATAAAGCTTTCTACACTTATGCCTTGTCATTATCTTTGTGTGCATTATTTCTGTACAGCCATATCATTTATATTTCCATGACCTGGCTGTACTTATTGCATGCAGTTCTATGAGAATTTCATTTGATGCAATACAATTTACTTGGAAACCCTCAGTCCATAAAGTAAAGGAGTAATAATGATATTATTTGTGACTTTTCCAATTGATTCATCTTTTCAGTCCAATGTAAAAGAAATCCTCTACTACAAACTACTATAAATGGAAGAATAATGTCCCAAAAATACAGGTTGCTGAAGACTTCCCTCAAACCTTTTTCAAGCTGAGAGAGCAACCTACTTAATTTGCCATAGCAAACACTGGCCACTGCAGAAACTGCAGAATGCTTTTGCAATAATTATTTTGTACTTTAACATGAGTTAGATGCAAGATCAAAGAAATTAACAGTAGAATACCATTTAATCTAGGACATTAATCACTGTTAACTCATCTGATTTTACAATTAAACTGAATGTTCAATCTGTCAAGCCTTCAGAGTATTCAATCTTTTTGTTCAATCTTAGCTTTTTTTTTTTTCTTTTACTTAGAGAAAAGTTTATTATCAGGAAGCATGTCACTGAACTGTTAATGTAATCAATTCTATTTTATTTTCAAACCATTCCTGTGCTTTACTTTAAAAAGTACAAAATTAGATATGATTAGATAATTATTATAGCTTGGTTAGACTGTATGCAATTTGCAGTCCTATCAGGAACGTGAAACAATGTTGTTCTGCAAAACATTATCTTGGGATCTAAAACCAAGCTAGAAACTTGGTAAATAAGACCAAAGAAAGGTGCTTGCTGCATTGCTGGTTCCATTTTGGCTGGTATTAATAGCAGTTGAATAATTATCACAGGGACATGCAGTGACTGACTGCAAGTGAATGAATGTGCGGTCTAACAAAATTTTCATCTACAGAAATTCCTGTACTAAGGCTGATACTGCATATGACACCAGCCTGAATGACCACAGCATGGAGTATGGCATATCCAGGACCCCAGGATACCTTGCTGTACCTAAGAGAGTGTTCTTTCTTATCAGCAACAAAATGAGATAGCCAGGTAACATGAGGTCTGGTCACTGATGGCCTCCAGAATACGAAGAAATCCACTGCCCTGAGCTGAAGCTTCATCAAATGTAAACTACGCAGAGGAAAGTTTTCTTCTAAACTGGCAGAACCTCCCAGTATGCAGGCTGGCATACAAGGCTGGGACTAATGAGTCCACAATTTGCAGAGCCCTAACTGGTGAAGAAAAAGATGAAGATTTTTCTCATGGATATGATAAAAACGATGATGAGCACATGTTTCACAAAACCAGCATACAACCTTTGCACTACTGGACAGCAACTGAAATAATGAATGATACCACAAGTATTGAAATGTCTATTAAACTTGCAGGTAATAATAATTTCAAGACGTTTGTGACCACATTTTATTTTAAATGACAGTTTCTGAACATGGAAATGTACAACAGACTCGGGTACCTGCCATTCCAGCAGAACAAGTCTTCCTCATGTTTGAAAATTAAAAGGACTATTTGCAAACATCAAAGGTTGAAATCAACTCTATGAAAATACAAAGAATTGTTTCTGCCTTACTCCAGAAGGTTATAGAAGGATGCAAAGTACAAAATAATGTATTTTTTAATAAGTGTGCAACTTGTTCAGATTAGGGGAGACTGCCACTAAATACAAGCCTTACACATTCATACTTCTCACCAAGAATGCCATAGTATCTTTTGAGGGAAGTTCCCGGTCTTCCTTCTACCATCTGTATATATTATAAGTGGTATCAAGGCTGACAGATGGATATTTATGTTGGCAAATCCAACAAACTTCAGTAAAACAATAAACTTCAACAAAAAGCTCACATGAATTCTGCAGTTGGGTTAGGTTTAGCAATTATTAATAACCTATTATGTTTAAGAAATGCTGTTTCTAGTTCAAGAAACGTTAAATACAAAAAAACATCCAGCATCTGAGACTGTCAGCTGGCTCACTACTGGAAATTACTGTTCTGAAGAGTTCAGACATCATTAACGGTGAGAATAATACAACACAGTCATGTTCCTTTCCCTTTCTTTTCCTCCTGTCCTCTATGTTAAATCAGAAGTCAGAGACTGATATGACCTCACAGGCAACCTACTTTCCTCTTCTACCAGTGCAGATTCATTCTCTATGCTACTACCCATTTCTGAGAGCTTTTCAAAGCCTGTCTTTAAAATATTCTGATGTTTTTTCCTTTGTTAATTCGATATATTATTTTATAGTCTAACAGCTCCTTGGTAGTAAGGTTTTTGTGATAGTCAGCCTGAAGCTCTCTCTCATAATTCATTCCCTTAACTGTAAATTTCTTTATTCAGATTCAGTTCTATTTATGCCACACCAGACTGCACCATTCTTCTGTTATTATAATGTTATGTTTTGAGAAGAGTATATTTTTTTCAATTATTTCTCTTACTGAAAGGCAAAATTTCATACTGAAGCAAATACCTACAGTAAAAATTATTTTTATCTCAAAATACCTGTCGGCAAATTTCTGAGCTTTATCTTATTTTCTGTGTGTTTTTGTAAGCCTTTAAAAAAAAGAAACAGTCTTTTTGTTTTCCTTGATATTGATACTGCCTAGTTATTCATTACTACCCCTGCTTATTCATTACTACCCTTGAAGATTATTAGAGATGCTGCCTTTCTCTTCCATTCTAGTGAAGATACCAGGAAATACATAACTGTACACTATGCAAAAAACCCCCTGTAATACTGTAGTACTATCCTCTTCATACTTTAATAACTTACTTGGCTTGTTTTTTCTCTCCCTGTTACACCTTGCTATCAAAACTATTTAAGTAAGTTTTGTAGAATTCCATTTGTATTTCTAATATATGTTATTTATAAGTCTGGGACTGTTAAGTCTTACTTCAACTCTACTCTTGAGGGCATACTATGTCACAGCATTTTTACATTTTACTGTAACATCAAATTAGACTTTAATGTTAAGTATTGCAGTTATGGCCTGACATTTATACAGTCACCTTTTCCCTCTCGCTCTACATTTTCTATTGAGTTGTTAAATGCAATTCACAATTACATTTGGGAATTCACACCTATAAATGAAACTGGTGCTTGTGTTTTTTTCCATTTAAGGCAAAGCCAATCTTATTTTAAATCACTGCAAAAACTAAATAAAAAAAGAAAAGAAAAAAAACCATAAATGTAATTTTTCTGTCAGTGCAACTGCATATGGCTTGCCAATTCTTTAAGGAATGATTAAAATGAATCAAACGTCTAGAATTCCAGATGAAGACGGCAAAATTCTTCCTTAAAACCACAGTCAATTCACAGATAACTCTTGGTTCACCCTAGTTGCACAGTCTGTACTGACTGAGATTGATCACTGCAGCTCTAACTGATCTGGATGCAATGCTGAGGAAATATGCAGAGAAGGCCACATCCAAAGTCGTACCTAGCCTATTAAGCCCCTCTGGAAAAGGGGCACAAAACACACCAGCTGAATGGCCCTGAGCCAGCTTAATGCAAGAAGGACTACCTGCACTGACTCAACATACAGACACTGCTTAACTTCTAACGTGCCCGACCATATTTGTATTACCAGCATCCAAAACCCCATGCGCAGTAGAAGAAAGTTCACTGATACTGAACTGGTGATAAAATTAAATGAAGGAACCAGTCAGTGCTACTAATTTTCCCCTTCTCCCTTTCTTTGTGTCCTATTATCCCATTTCTTTTTATAGGAAAACCACAGGTAGAAAAGGTACTCGATTAAGTACTTCATCGCTGCACCGGGAGTCTGTCAAGTTCTCTTATTTTACAGAATCAGAGAGTGGTTTGGGTTGGAAGGTACCTTAATGATCATATAGTTCCAACCCTCCTGCCATAGGCAAGGACACGTGTATCTGAATGAATTTTATCTGCATTGGGAATGCCACTGTCGCTAATAAAACAGTAGAATGTCATTTACTGTAATGCTGCAAATTGAACTAAGTTCTAAGAGAAAAGAAGTACTTCTTTTTAGCCCCATTCCTCTATCCCTAAATTCAAGTAAAACAAAGTCCTAATATAATGAAGAAAAATTAAATAATGCTTTGCAAACACTTACAGCCCATAAATCTGTGGAGCAATTTCCAGTCGGTTCAGATGCATGTACAGCTCAATATCATGTTTCTTCAGCAGATGATCCTGAATTTGGTTTACTTTTGCTACAATAGCAATAGATGGTCCTAAGTCCTGTGGCCTTGCAAATGGTGTAGGTGTAATCATCACATCTTTTTCCTGCAGACACAGAAAATGAGAAAAAAAGAGAATATCCTATGAAGTCTTATTGTCTAAAAGGGACTGTCTACAAGAGATTTGTTTTGTTGTCATCATTGCCTTCCAAATAAACATATTAATAACTCATTTCTTTTAAAGCAAAAGAGGAATCTCAAGTATCCTCTTTTGTGAAAGGTACTGTGGGATTCCCCTTCCCAAGCATGCCAAGGTTCATCCTCTCATTCTGCACATCAATTTTTATGCGCATGCTTTACTTTTCATGCTCTGACGAAGTGTTGACAGCTTTATTTTAGCTTTAATATCAGCAGTCTGAGTCAGTCCAGAGCAAAGCAGATAAATGGTAACTTAGAGAATGTATGCCCTCAGAGGACAATAAATTGCATACCAAATAGGAAATAACTTATTTTCAAATGATGCTTCCTAAACAGGATTCCCTTGCTCAGAAAATCTGTTGGCTGTACCTCAAAATCTACAAAACTTTGATAATACATCAGAAAACTTATAAAACAAAACCAAAATAGAACAGTGAGATCAACCCAAGGGCCTGAAGGTAGCTGGTTGGACCTAAATGCTGTGCAAACTATGTAATGATCTAGAATATGACATAAACCAAATGAAAACAGAGAAAGAAAACTGCTGGTGTATTAGCATCCTTGAACCTGATATTGCTCTATCTTTTTTCTTTCTGCAAAAGAGGGATGCATTACTGAAAAAGAAGCAGAATGCTAGGAAGGGATTCAGGATGTAATGAACCACACTGAATAGGAAACATGTAAAAAGGAAGATCAGAAATAAAAAGGGAATAAATCAAATATATCAAGAGAAAGATTGAAGAAAGAGAAATGGAGAATTAAACTGTCAGGAACAATGCTAAAGTTATAAAAGAGGGAAAATTGAAACAGTAAGATTTCTCAATGATTTTGTTGCAATCTGTCATCATGGCTATCTGACGTGAAAGGTTCACTTTAAAAAATAGTTACTGTTTTTATACGCTTTTGCTAAATTTATTGATAGAGAAGCATTATCAAGGTCAATGGGTTAAGAATTTCAGAAGACTTCATTACAGTTTAAACTCTTGAAAGACAAAATCACTTGGCTCAATACAGTGAAAAGCACATTATTTTTTATATTCAATAACAAAGAAAGGGTTTTTTTTGTTGTTGTAGAAACTATCCCCAAGGTTGTTTTCTATAGTTATAACCCTCTTCAACCCCATTCTTTCTGTATTAGCATTTTAAGAGGAAGGAAGAGAAGTACCCATATTTTGCAATAATTTACAACATGGTTTAACATTTAAGTGGGAGATGAACATTTAATAATTTCTTCTAAAAAGCTTATTTTTTATGTTGATCTCTTTTGCTTGAAATATTTTTTTCTTAATTATTCCATTTCTGTACCATAGAAAATGTGTATGATTCTGAGCAGCTATTTCAGGTAAAATGATTCTATTTAAGGATCTGATTGATTATAAATTGTATCTTAAAATCTGCTTAAAATTGTTGCTTTGTTGTGGCAATTGCAGCAAAGGGATTTATCTGTCTATTGCAGTGTGATGGTTTTGCCATGCTGTTGTGGTACCAAGACATATTCATTTAAGATGCCCCATCAGTTTCCTTGACAAAAGCTCCCTCAGACAGACTGTCAAATAAAGCTCACTGAAATGGTGTCCTTTCATTCAAAATCTTTTCTGTTCTACCAAACAGAAATTTAAAATAAAACATCTAGCATCTTAGGGGCTAATAAGAAATGCTGTCACTTACTTAAATACTAAAGTTCTTCACAGCTGCACGTACGTTGAGAAAGGATGTTTCTCCTACCTCCTTTAAAAATTATTCTATTAACTTCTTTATTATCAAACTGGGCAGCTTTCTTTCTACCTTGATTTTTGCTTCTCCCTTGCATGTCTATTTCCTATCTCTGTTTCAGACCCATTTCATTATTTTCTTGTTCACATGCTAGAATGCAGAATAGCAATAAAGGGTATCCACTGATCTCCTTCTCAACTATACAGGAAAACACTCAAAGTATGATATGATAGCATTGCCTTAAAGTTAAGTGCTAGTCTACAGTAATATTTGCATAAACATATCAGTAATTATTTGCATAAACATATCTTTGAAACTAATAATAAAAGTCTGTAACTCCACACATTCATAGACTGTGCATGTTCCATCAGTTGGTGCACACAGTGGCTATGAACTTTATTCTGGTTCATTCAAGTTGACTTTTAACTTCATTATAACCACTGCATGCACTCATAACTCGACTCAAAAGATCTGCATTTTAAGCTTTTCTCTATAGGCACAGATTCTCATATAGAAATCTCAACATTAGAATCTATCTACTTGTAATGTCTATCTGCTGATTTGTAATATGAGAAGACTAGCTAGTTACTCAAATTAGCCTTTACATCATTAGTTGTCTGTGGGTTTAAAGCTGTCTTTACAAAATTAGAAAGCAGACTTTTAAACACTGGCTCAAGTGTCAAAAGATTCTGCATATCAAAACTAATGCAAGCTTCCTCTTACAGCAGAGTGCCAAAACTGGAGTTATTTATCACTTGCAAGCATTTGTGCACCTTGGCATAATGCAGCACTGACACATTGCTGACTGTCAGACCGACTGACTATCAACGTGGCTAAGTGCATCAACTAAGATATACTGGATTGCCATTTTTAAAAGCATGAGATAAGTAAATGGTATCCATCAAAATGCAGTCACCAGCATCTCAGAAATTAACCCATTAACAGAAATCCTCAAAGCATGTCATAACCTGTGGGGACAGCAGCTGCAATCAGTAATCAATGCCATGACTTTCCATGCTTCCTGATTTGGTGCACTCCACCGAGAAGCTCAGTGGATGACTAGAGTGCATATGATATGTCTGTTGTCTCCTCTCACACAATTTGGTTGAGAAAATGATAGATAATACATTTAGTCAGCTGAAATTGCTCCAAAAAATCACATCAGCTGGTGTGAAAGAAACAGCCCAAACAGAAAGATGCTCAGATAAACTGACATAGCCAAGCCGCCAAAATATTTAACTAGAAATGACTCACAGTGCCTGTGCCTTAAAGCACAGAAGCCAAGTGGACAACCTGATACTGTGCCCCTGCCCATTCTCACTATATATTAAGTTGCCACATGAGTCAAAACACCTGTTTTCTTTTTGTGAGCTTCTCAGTCTTGGGAAAAAAAAAAAAAAAAAAAGAGTGCCTGCATTTAGACATCTACTGCTGACGTGAAATATAAATGATCAACCCCAAATGGATGCCGTTAACAATAAAAAGACAAAAAGTGGGATGTCTCAGAGGTGTGCTATTCTGTTTACGGGACAGCATCAGATTCACCTCTAAGAACAATTTAAATATGGATAGCGGTGAAATGCAGATGAAAACTTTAGATCAAGTATTACCAACAGAATCATCAAATTGTGCCACAAAACATTACCTACCACAACACGAACTGGGAAGGCTGACAGTCGATACTAATACAATTTATATATTCACGCATTTACGAAACAAATGCTACAGCAGTAAAGAGAGGCTAGGACATAGTACACATATAAACCGTGGACAGATTTCTCTCATTAACCACTAGGGAATGGAGTAGCTGGAGAAGCTCCTCTAATGGCAATTGGGAGTAATGGAACCAACTGTTAGAGGCTATAAAATGTAACATGTCTCTCAGAGCACACGCTTTCATTGCTTCCTTTGTGAAGATTCAGACTTTATTATGTAGCTAACCCTCAAAGTCATGATTGTAAAAGGCATATGTACAAGACAGGATTATTAAAGATTATACATGTTTGCAAAGAACAAAACCAAACAACTAGATATTAATCCATGCGCTTTGCATTGTTAATTTTTTATGCCACAAAAGGACTGGAAAGGGCAATATAAACTTTCACCTTCTACCAAAGCACTGCAAATCTGTAAGCAGTTATTTCCCAGAGTAAAATTTCACCTCAGACTTTACCACCTCTGCCACAGGAACTGAACAAACTCATTTGAACACACTGAATTTTGAAGTGCTACATTCAGAGAAATGTCTCAGCTTTGTTCTTGGCACAAAAGTGACTATGTAGTAAGTTCATAATATTCACATCTCATATGCTTTATCCTTAGTTACTAAGAATTATGTAAAAACACAAACCCAAATAATATTTTTTACCTGTAGATAGCTTATGCCAAGAAGCCAATGTTCCATGTATAATAAAATATATACACAAATACATTTAAATATTTAAGGAAAATAGAAGTCTTTATGTGCATCTTGGTTAAACACGTTTTTCTTCAACAGACAGGCAAAGCTACCTCTCAAACTAGTACTCCCTAATTACAGTATGCAAATATAGGTTTTGGTGCACACATGTGGACATCCAAACCCAAACAAATTCTTACTAATTTTTTTGTTAGCTACAGATAATCACCCCGTGGTCTACATGAAAAACTCTGAAGTGAAACAAGCTGGAACCAAGTTTGGAGGATAATCCCTTTAAGATGTAATACACTGAAGGTCTTGGCAATACCTGCAATAGGGCTATATTCTGCTAGAGCCTTCTACATACACTCCACCACACAAGTAATTTTTCAGAATTAAAAAAGAGATAAATGTAAGGAGGGAAAGAGACAGGAAAAAAGTATTCAAAGGAAATCTTGAGCAACTGATGTGAGGGAATTGTCCCTCATGCCATGCATGAAAAAGGGTTACAGGCAAGGAGGAGGTGGTCCCTAGAAGGTGCCTGCAAGGAGTAGTTCCATAGAAGTAGGAACACTGAAAAAGCTCTTCTTTGGAAAGAAGCAACATACTAAATACAGTGATGTCTGTGTAGCTGCACAGGAGATCTGAGGGCAAAGACATTCCCTCTGTTTGAATACCATGAGGTCATGTTAAAAAAAAAGTAAGGAAATGTAGTGATGAAGTTGGGGGGGGAGGGGGGGTGCGAATATGCACCCTGACCTTTGATTGACGGTATATGATTACAGTTTTGGTTTCACAGCAAATTGGTTACATATTAAAGAGCTAAAACCAATTCAAGCCTCCATAGGTTAAATGCTGCCTATGTGTGTTTATTTAGCATGACATCTGCACAGGTTTGAGACACACAGATGTGCCTATGAGAGGCATTCTTTCAAATGCTACACACGAACATCACTCATGCATAGGAGAAACTGCATTTGTACTTCTGATTACCAAGTGATCTTTCAACAAATAGGAACTCTTAACCGGGATCTTAACAGATACTTATGTATTTGTATGTATTATGCAACAAGTATCTTAACAAATACTTATGAACAAATTCTGAACAGCCTCTAAAGGATGTAAACTTACTTGAGCCTGCTTTAACGAAGTCTTTTAAGAGAAGATGCCTTCTTACCTTCAAATTACTTCAATCATACTAAAAATCACATTTGCTTAAAAATACAATAAATACATTTTAGAGCTGTATTTACCTTCTGACTGTCATGTTCAAAAGTTGAAAACCAATGTTCTGCAGTTTTCATAAGACGTGTGAACATTGCACTGGACAGGAAAAAAGCAGAAACTTGGTGTTAAATAATGTATTATAAGTAAGAGCAAGTAAAATGTAAAGGAAGTTGCTAAAACTTACTAGGCATCGTGTTCCAGATATTCAGGATTCAAAAGAACTTTCATTTCCTCGCTGAAAAAGGCAACAGTGAACAATCCAAATGTGAATGTTTATTTTTGGTCAGCGTTCTGCATGTACTATTATGTATTTATAAGCCAACTTTCATATAAAGTGCAAATGAGAAAACTAGCCTTTTTAATTAAAAAGAGCAACTCCACTGAACAAATGAAGTCTTTCGTTTTTATAAATATCAAAAACAAATTAGCTGCCTTGTCTGCACTACAATGAAGTAACCATCTAATTATTCCAAATAACAAATTACTGAATGTCACAATGTATTATTTGAATATGCTTGATCTAGAATAATTGATTGCTGCACAATCTATCACTGTTTGTCCCAAACAAAAAAAATAAAAATATGGTTACTGGTCAAATACACAGTATCAAAACATTAATTTATTTTGTTTTAATAGCCTGTATTTTTATTGTACTTTAACAGCCATTAATCAGTGACAGCACCTCTTTTCCATCTACTTTGTAGCTTGGCTCTACTTTTTCAGTGGGGATGGAACAGAATGCTATGCATGGTTATTTTAAGTTACTTAGCACTGAAAAGCATCTTCTAGGTAATTTCAGGATTACAGACATTGAATACAACAGACATTGAATAAAACCACACACTTGTAAAAATAATCTCCATCCTTATGCTTAACTGCCTTTGGACAATCAAGTTGAGGGGTACCAGCAGAGGTTATATTATATAGTACACATAATTAAATTGGCTTTTATTCACTACTTGGCTCAAAAAGAGTGCAAAAAGACAAATGAAATGTCCTAAATATCACAAGTGATACAAGAAGGCAATTAGTTTCTTTTTTTCTTTCCTAAAAACCCCCAAAACTTTACACATAGGTCAAGAAAAAAAAGCATCTGTATTTTTTGAGGAACAGTCATGTGTGAGGTAATATTTTATACATTTTATATATAGGTGTATAATTACATGTGTACATACACACATGAAGTTTGACCGGAACAGAGAATCAACAGCTAAAACTAATGTTATTACAAAGTCAAAGGACAGTCAAATATTGCAGCTGCAACACTGGAGGTGATGAAAGAAATATCAATCACAATAATTTGCCTACATTGAGTTTTTTTTCTCTTTTAAGATATGAGGAAAGATAATTGGTAACATGTCTGTTCTATGAATGTGGTTCTCTAATCTGCCTCCTCTCTGCAATGACAAAACCTAAACCATTTCTGGCAATAAGAATAAGGTGAAGCAGCAGGTAGGTATGTAAGCATTTTGATTACGGTTCTCCTTAGGTTTCTTGTCTCCCTTTTTTTTGCCATCTAGTACCTGTGAAGGGGCCAATGACTACACTTCCAATCCCCATTTCAGCAGATGTAGTATGAAAGATGAAATAAGGTCAGTTACATAAAACCATGAAAATGTAGCAATTTCTGATATCAGTTTACCCATTATAAACAAAGTCTTAAGAAACACCATATTTAAAAGTTCAAGTCCAGCTAACTTATTTATTTATTAATTTTTAAGAAAGCAGCTTTTTAATGCTCTACAAATAAAACACAATGCTTGCCTTGGTTGTGCAGCTTCACTGGCATGTGAAAAAGCTTGATGGTCACAATGCAGGATAAAGACAATGGGAGCTAAAAGTTCATGCATACCCTAAAAATACAAGGAAGCAAAAAAGTATAGTAAGATTTTCCAGTCATATAATAGTTCCTAATGCGTAGCATCAGCCAGCCAGCAATATCTGATGCAGACTAAGTAAAAGCAAGACGATTTACATTCTTAACGGAACAGTTTCATAATCAATGGCTTTTATCTTAAAGTCTGATTAAATCCAAGTGTTTATTCTTACATAATATACAGAAACAAGTTATTCTCCCTTTTTCTACCACAACAGAAAACAAATTGGCAATGGTAGGCAACCCTGCACCTGGCAGTTTACTCCAAGATCTATGTTCATAAATATTAATTTTATTTATGATAATTACAGTCATGATCCACAGTACAAAGATCTGCAATAGGGATAAATTTCAAAATTTAAAATTCTTTTTTATTTGATAATGTTCCAAAATCATAGATAAAAGCAAAACAGTAGCCTTCAGAGGAGACAAGGTATGCTATTGGGGAAATTAGAAAAATTAAACTTCCATTCCTATGGACATGGGAAAGAAAATGAGTGCTTGGTTTTTTGTTGTTTTTTTTTTTTTTTTTTAAAGTTGCTATGTTAGTATTAAAAATAAACTCATTATAACATAATGCGTAGGAGACCTGGTACTGTTCCATTATAGGCAATTACTAGTATATGCAATCTATATGAAGATACAAAAAAAATATAGAAACATACAGGCATCAGAACAGGATAGATAGTTGAGGACTTGGGCCAGCATTAGAAGCATAGCTGGGCCTCCCAAGCCACCTATTGGTGCTTTTAGCCAGAGCTCACCAGGAACAAAAAAGGTGTCTTGATTTGCTTTAGTACACCTGAGGCTTGTCAATTTGTTATCAGGAGCAGAAGCAACCACTTCCAGAAACAAGCAATCTGGTTGGCAAACTGCAACACACTGGCAGGTAAAACAACAATAGCCTGCACAATGAAACCTTGTCTTCAGCAGATATTCAGCCCCTTCCCTCATATTAGATCAGGGAAAAGGAGGATTTGAGGTATCATAACTGAGGAATTTGGTTATGTCAAGGGAATTTGGCTCCCAGTGGTAGACTAGGACAGCAGGTGAGAACTATGCAAGCTACACGTTGGGGTTTGGGGTCAGCCATACAGAAGTAGTGGGGAGAGCCCTTACGTGACAGATAGGATGTGGTATGAAGGGTTGAGATGCGTTTGGTGGCCTCTGGACACAGGGATTACTGCAAGGGGAAGAGAACTCCTAACCTCAGCCCAAAACTACCAACCAGACCCAGGGCTTGGTGCCAGGTGCCCAGGCTACTCCTGCTGGCTGTCACTCTGGATGGAGTTCTTCCCCAGCTGTGCTCCAGTTCAAAGCTGCAACTCCTTCACTAAGCGGAACCTCAGTCCCAGTTCCAGGTGAGTGCTCTGGGCAGACAGCAATGCCAGGAAGATCATCTTGTCTACCCTGATGGCAGAAAGAGCACTGGGGCTGCTGGACTATCAAACTCATAGGCATTTCAGATTGCTGTTAGGAGTCAGATAATTGGTGCTTTCTATGCTTGTAGTTCCAAGCTAGGGATTCTCTCCACTTGCTTTTCCAGCCCTTTCAGTGATGACCAGACATGAGCAATGATAGAGATACATGCTTGTGCAGCTACCCTGCTGTCTTGCTGGTTTATCAGTTGATATCCCATGCAGCATTTGAGAAGTATTCAGTATCAGTGAGTTAGCTTATCTGCTTCATGTGTATCAAACAGATCTATTAACTACTAAAACCCTTTAAGTTTTATTGGAAACAATGGAAATTTCCCTTAAGTGGTCCAAACTGAGCAGAGAGGTGGATGTGGAAGCCCTAACTCATTTCTGAGTGTGCAATAACTCATATTTGAGTGTGCAGCTAATTCCATGTTAGTGATTCGTATCTGTTCATAAGAGGGAATTCCAATACCTAGCAGTGTTGATGGGGAAAAAAAAAAAGCAAAAAGAGGTTTGGAAATTTCTCTGTGTCCTATTACTTGAAACCCTAGGAAATTTGACTTCAGATTCTTCAGGACTGAGATCAGGACTGTTAAAGCCTCAACTGCAAGGTTGCAGCAAAAGCAGTCAGGTGACTGGGCAAAGCTAAAGACAAGAAAAACTACAGAAGTTTGGATGTTTTCTTTCTCTTCCTAATTTGAACCTTTAGGGACTACTTAGAAAGATGAAGGCTAAAGAGAAATTCAATTAGGAAAAAGCCCAGTGTAGCCACTTGATTTCAGGAGCTGATCTAGAATTCCCAAGTACTACAGTATTGGTTAGACTGCAAACTGCCAACTTTAGATTTCTGGAAGTCTTGTGGTCATACCAGAAGGGAAAGGAATAGTATGGACAGGGAGAAAGGGAAATGATTAGAAAAGAAATGTAAGTGACAAAAACATTTAAATGAACTATGGATAACCCAGGTTCTACTTTCCTACATATTCACAGCCCTCAGATAATTAACAGCTCCACATCTAATCTTTCATTCACCCTGATATACTAACATGAAATATGAAAAATGGAAATGCCAAAACTTGACTGTCTAATAAAGCTACCACCTAAGCTGTAAACTTATAAGCTGAAGAAAGGGGACATAAAATAAGAATTAGTTATAAAAGATAAAAGCACATCATACATTTTTCCAACATAATAATGTATCAACTTTGTAATGAAGTAGAATCATAATGTGGCTGCCCACATACAACAAAAACAACAAAAACAAAACAAACAGATGATGAAATATTGGGATTTCAAAAAGATACCTCTGATCTTTCAGTTACAGTAGTACTTCAAATATTTAGAGATTTTTAGCTTGGCAAGAAAAGATACCAGTGTAATATGCATACACTTACTTTTTCAGTGCTGCAGTTTACTAAAACTCTTTAGTGTTAATAAGTAAGTTGACAGAGCTCAGATAATTTTATGACGCTCCCCAGCTACAACAAAATATTGATTTCATAATACATTCTATGGTTTAAAAAGAAAACCAGAAATGCAGCATTTCTACAATGAAAACTGGATCAATGAATTTCAAAATTATATTGACATCTCTAGCAATCAAATCATGAGTGAACAACAGTTAGCCTGGTGATTTAGCTTAATTGTCACTACTTCTTTTCAGTATAAATAGGACCAGAATTTTGTCACCAGTCTTACAGAAGCATGCTAAGAGTAATTTTTACGTATTCTTAAGTATAATGTGCTATTCTCTTTAGATGTTATATTTACAGCTACTATTTAAAAATTCAATGATCCCTGTGAGGATTCTGTCTTTAAAATCTCTCCTACAGCTTCACAACATCCTACTTCATTTGACTAGGGACAGAAATATTTTTTTCCTCATCAAATAAAATATTACTTCATGCTGGTCAAAAAACCACGAACCCTACTACAAAGACAACTTCATGCATATATGCATATTAAACAAACATTATTGATTGCTGCTTGTAAGACTATATGGCTGATGCTATGTAATAATTTTAATGAAATGCTGTAAACTGCAGATGTATTTTATTTACATTTATAAGTATGCAAATTGTCAAGGAAATAAATCTTTTTCCAAGTATTTTGAAAGGGAAACATCAGGTCCTGTACAGATGCTGACAGACAGAAGTATGAGTTTTTATTTAGTGGCTGTTACAATTCTAATATGAAATGTAGCTCTTGCGTGCGGTCATACAAATGAGACAGAGGAATTCCCATAGAGAATAACAGGACCAATTTCATGACGGATACTGAGTATGAGGGCAAACTCCTTAATTTGAACTTTGTATTCAGGTAACTGTGGAGAGAGCAGCATGGAGGTGATCTGTTATTGATGAATTAATGGTAACCTTCATTATTTTCAAGAAAATATGCTGGACTTTGATGTAGTGGTAATTATTATGGGAAGTGGGGCTTGAGCCAATGGTAAAAGCAGAACCAATAAAAATAGTAGTACAGGAAGACTGATTGCAAGATAGGTATTTGCCAAAAGAGGGAAAAAACAACCTCCTGTCACCATCACAAACTCTATTTCCTATTACCCAATTTAGACAAGGGTGCTTATGGACATGAAAGAAAAATGTTACCTAAAAAGAGATGGACATGGTGACAAAAAAGCAGGATTGTTACTAGTTAGCTAACAGGAGCATTAATTAACAAAACAAACAAACAAACTCTTTCAAAAAGAGGTAAGCAAAAATAAAAGCTCCTAATAAAAGAGATGCATGTCCACAACACGAGAGGAAAACCAGTCATTTGCCATTTTGTAGACTTGGCACAGCACCACAAGACTTTGGGTGATACACTGAACACACTTCAGAGTGATTAAAATCAACAGTCTTTCATGATCCAGATTTATTTCATTTTCTGCACTTAACCTTTCCCCTTAGTCTTATAGCAACCACTTCCTGGAATTACTGCACTACTGACGAACACCAGTTGAAAACAGAGGTAAAGAAGTTTTCTTTGTCAACAGCCTGTAGGCTTGCAAAATTGAACCTGTTCTTTTATCTGCCTATGTTCATTTAGCCCACCAAGCAGTCTTTATTAAAGCTGAGGCATCAGGCAGTCAAAGTTCATTAATACCATTTATATAATCTCTGCAGTTTCAATTAACTCAGCAAGACATTCTACTACATGATAACAGTCTCATTAATTCAATAAAATCCCATAACTATTAACAATATGGTCTATGTTAAACGGGGTGTCACCTAGTAGAAAATAACAGCTTTAACAGCTTGTGATGAAACACAGGGCTTTTTCTGTGTGTTTTGTTTTAAATTTTATCCAGCTAAATATTCTATTCTTATGTAAAAGGTGTTATTTCTTGGTAAAGAATCAAGAGGATTTTAAATATGAGCAGAGGGTAATTAAGTCCTTTTAAGTCATATCAAAGAGTAAAGTAATACTTCTTGTTCAATAAATGATAGACTACATTAGCTGGAATGTGTTCTTCCATTTTCCCATCATCAGTACTCTGGACTATATTCACTAGAAAGGGGAGGCTGAATACTGTTGTTTTCTTTAGTAGTGCCCTTCAAAATGCAACTCACAGATCTCATTCTTATTCTCATGCAAACCTTATCACCTACTCATAGTCTGTAAAAAATGAGAAATAACCAGCTGATAGAGATTTCATGTGTTTGACAACTATGTATTTGATTTTTGTTACAAGCTGTAAGATAGTTCTTCAAAAGTAACTGTTCCTTCAACTCACATGCATCCTTTTTTTTTTCTCACAAAACACCACTAATTTCCTGGCTTGAGGACAGAGTGGTCACAGACCATGCCTGAAAGCTTACAGTGTCTTCTAAAAACCTTCACATTTACTGAACCTCTGTATTTTTGTCATGAAAACGTTTTTGGCTACCTAAAATTTGCTGCTCTACAGTTTATCATTTGTCAGTGCACACAGAGTATCCCTCAGTTTGTCAGGTCTACCCACTGTACTGATAATAGCCTGAATCAACTTCTGTATACTCTGCATATTGGTCTTGCTATATTAATTTAGTATCAAGCTTATCGTCACATCAAAATCTTCAGACCAAATGTTGAATTAAATTACCCTGCATCCCATATGGACACACAGTTAGTGCAGCTTTAAGGTTTTCTTTACCATTTTATCAAAAATGGTTCGAGCAGGTAACACGGTAAAAGCGGTTTTTGTAGCACCCTTATCCTTCAGTCAAGAGGCATTTGTCAGCTGCATTGTATTTGGATGCTACAGGTTCATATAAAAGATCTATTCACTAACGTAGTGGATAGCTTTAGGACTTTGAGGAGTAACTTCAAATATTATGTAAAAGTTAAAATAGTAATGCCTAAATTTCAAAAATCACTATTTTTTTTTTGTTTATTCATTACCATTTTTAATCCTGCTGCATACTGTCTTTCTTTGCCTAAGCAGAGAAAGCCTTTCTTTTTATTTTTCTTTCTTAGCCTGCACTGAAGAAAAAGATGCTGTTTGTAAAAAAATTTGAAGTTAGACAACTGAGCAACCTTAAAGAAAACAATTTGAGGGACTGTGTTATGAGGAAAAAGCATATGTTATTCAATGAGCTTACTTTTCTTACTATCCAGCTGACAAGCAGCTCTTTGATTACTTTAGCATTATGATACAACTTCAGATACAATGGAACTACATTATTGCCAAACCGCATAGAAAATGTTGAGTCAATGAATGCCACCTGTACAGGATTTTCATTACCTGCTTATAAAGCAACTGTTCATTTTCTCTGGCATAGCAGAACAGAACATCTGTAAGAATTTTCCTCACATTCTCTTGCTGGAAATACTGCATTTCAGGAAAGCTGAAAATGAAGAAATACAGTGAAGATAAACAATACAGCACACAGAATCTCAGTCGCTGGTCTTCTAGAAATGGTTTTAGGTATGACAGCATTTTCCCTTGTCTGCTTTTGCACTGCTCTGTGAATTGTGGATGCTGATAAGAGCAAGAATACTTCTAAAGAAGTATTTTTGCAGCCAAAATTCTGAACCACGTTCTTTAATATGCATCAGTCCACTAATAGGATGATGGTATCACCAGTTATATTTAAATAAACAATCCCTTTTAATATTATGAAAACTAGAGATCTGAAAGTACAGCGGCAGACTGTTTTAATCGCCAACTCCTTACAAACATCCAGTCCACTGAAAATGAACCTAATCAAAATAAAACAATGAAGTATATGAGTATGTTCCTGCCTAAAGAATCAGGTTCCTTTGATTCCCAATGTCATGAAAATAAATTGAGTTGATACAGAATGAAAGAAAATAGAATGAGAGGCAATGACTGAAGCAAAAATCTACCCACTTCCTGTGGACAGGAACTAGTACTAAGCCTAGCAGGCCAGTCAACCATTCTGGTTCCAGGTGGTACAGCACCCCAATAGCAACTTAATGCAAAGACTGTGCTCCAGCAATTACCAAGTCCTTCACCAGAGAATCTTAAACTTGCTAGAAAAGGAGCGTGATCAAAAAGTCCAAGCAACAACAATTCCCCTCAGAATAACTATTCAGTTAAAATTAAACCAGCTGCAAACTGTTACCTACTGATTAATTTCATTCAGGTACCAGAAAAATAAGCACCAAAGATCAATTCTCCTTAAATAACTTTTTATGACATCCTCCATTTTTTTTAATCTGTGTTAAGTTGGCAACTGTAACTGCACCATCAGTCTGCCCTGCAGTTTCACTAATAGCGCTTAGCCCTGTTCTTCATTTTTTGAAGATAAAGGTCAGGCAAAGGAAGACTGTAAAAGCTACAGTAAGTTAAGGAAGCTTGTAAACTTTCCAGTTATGCTGGAAAAAAAATGGAAGAAAGAAAAGCATGTCAGCAGAAACATATACACAAATGTTCAATAATTCATGAAAATTTAAAAAATAATTAGCATTTTAATGACAGTATCTCATAGTTGACATGAAAACCAGTATCCTAAGCTCCAATATATCTTACTGGCATCTTTTGTGATGCAACATTATTAGGCATTTCACTGTTTATAGTACCTGTCTCAAATAAATTTTACAATTATGAAATCATTTGACATTCTGGCAAATATCCTTTACAGACATAGAATGAAGTGGACCTAGTGTCAGAATAAGTGAAAAGAAGCTGGGAAAATCCTGTTATCTGCATATAATCCAGGAAAATATAACTATTTACAGTCTGTAACTATTCTGGTTCAACTTTCACTTCTCCTTGAGTGTTGGAGGCAGGAAATAAGCTGATTGTGCAGGACATACTTTAATGAGTAAGTGCACAAACAAAAGTGGGTTTTTTTTTCATGGGTAGTGAAGAAGTAACTAGATGGAAAAAAAATGTTTCATAAAGCAACCACCCCAAACCACATCCAGCTACATGGAGCAAAAACAAAACCAAAAAAATCTGGAAAGGTAGGATACTAAAAGGAAAAGATCAAACTGGACAAAGAAAACCATAAGATTACTTAAAAAGATAACACAGTAACCCTCAGGCTAGATTGCTGACATAAAGGCTATATAGTATTGTCAGTTTTGAGATGAAATCTCAGGGACTGTAGATAATTTTTCTTCAAGCAAATTTTCTTTTTCCTCCTTCCCAAGTCTTAAGTTACAATGCTAAACTTAGACCAGTTATAGCAAGGCTGTTGTAAAGCCTGTCATAGAGAAACAATATAGGGAACTTTAATGAATTACTTTAGATAAAACTATTAGTGTTAATAATTACTGTAGTCATTTCACAGAGGTGATGAACAGGTGAGCACAAAACCATAATTAATTAAGGCTAGAAAAGTGCTCTGAAATCCTTGGATGAAGGACCTGAATCCAGAGCCAAGGCAGAGGAGACACTGTGGCTTACACGTAGCAATGCTTAAGTCCTGTGGAAGGCATTGGGATGAAAGGTGCAGCATTTTCCTGGCACCTGGTGGGGGTAATGGTAGACCAACATTTGGAAACTTGTATGCACTTGTACTAATCATATTACTGTAAAGGAAGGACACAGCTGAGACCAAAAGTGCATTACGGCAGATGGCAATCGACATAATTTAGGGGTTTGAAGAGATTATTTCTGAAGGACTGTTATTCAGGCCTGCCCTAAGAAGTTTAGGAAAAGAAGACTAATAAAGAAAACCCCAAAATACACAGACATATCTGTGAGGATCTAGTAATATCAGAGATTGTTACACAAAAGATAATAATGAACTCAGGAATAAGCTGGCTGAAGTATTAATTATAGTAAATGTAAATACAAGAGATCACAGAGGAACTATCAGTTCAGGATGGATTTTTATTGAGAATGTCATTTCATGATTAAAGCACTGTTTTAGAAATACAGTATTCTCAAATCAGGCAAGGTAAGGAGACTTTTCATGAGCACTGGAATACTATGTTTAATTACGTTTCTGAGAAAGACTACATAAGGACATGGGAATTTTGCTAGACCGTTTTACCACAACCACTACAATTAAACAACAGTGCATTCAAGTCCCTGCTGTCTGAAAGCAAACACCATTGCAAGTTAGTTACAATTCTCTAAAACATTCCTTTAGCCCACTTAGGGTCCCATATACCAGAGGCAAGCCAGACTTATGACACAGAAGAAACAGGCTGGCAACCAAATAAAAGGATGCACAAATACTTTATAAAACAAATTTGGTGGCAGATAGGAATAAGGCTCTTATCCACAGCCATGGAATGACCATCTTTCTTTCACAGACAGACTCCATTCCCTGCCATTCCCCAACGCTGTTACTCAGCTGGAATGGGGAAAGATACTAAAACCAGAAAAAAACCAAGATGCTCTTGTAAAGGTTTGGTAAAAGATAATAATAACTCCCCACTCCTCCCTTGTTGTTTGCTTTTTTCTTGGAAAGGAATAAATTGCTGTGTAAAGATATATATTCCTTCCAGCAGTCCATCCTCTTACATAGAAACTAGACTTTGTCCCCTGAAACTTAATGTATTGCTGTTTCTTCCCATCGCTCCTACATGTTTAGGAAGGATGCAGCTGCCTTCCTTGATACCTTTTTTATAGGTGGGTTTGGGTTTTGGTTTTTTTTTGTTATTTGGGAGACAGACTTTGAAACAGCAGCACCCACCACTACTCATCTCCACAATTTCCATTGCCCTAAATTGTGACTGTTACTTCTGCAGCAAAAACTAGGTAGACCAATACATAAAAATACTACTACAGAAGAAAAGAATTCTACTTGATTAGTCGACTGGGAATGCTCCCTAAGCATTTTGTTGTTTAAAATACTGCAAAGAGAAAGAGGCTAATAAAATCTAACCATTTATAATCTTAGATGTACAAAGTGATGCCAGCAAGTAGACTGGTGTTTTGTTTTGACTGGTAGTTAGATGCTCTTGCATCTGCCAATCTTCTGATTTCTCCATTTCTGGAAAATGTTTTCAAAATTCTTCTTTATCACTTAGCTGCTTAATCATCTCAAAATAAATCTGCATTGTTTCTTGGTACATCTTTTGACTGACAGCAATTAATCACTGCATTCCTAAGTCTGAGTTACTATGGTGCTAGTTCATGCACATTCCTTTTTTAGTAGAACAATAGAATGCAGTATTATAGTCATAACTTGGTTGATATTGTTATCTACATTTAAAGTAAGGCTTTTACTTGATTTATAGTAAACCTCTCTTACCCTCTCTCCCACCCTCATTTTTAGAAGCTTCTCACTTAGATAGAAAGAGATGGTGTTTGGTTCCAGCTCAAATGTACATATTTCTAGGCGGCTGAAGGAAAATCCATTCTGAACCTCTCAAATCCCATAAAAAGTAAGTCAGGTGGTTAAACAGAACTGTTGATCACCAGTGAGTTAGGACTAATTAAACCAAATCCTTCCCTACTTCCCTTGGAAGTACTGGAAATTCTTATGTAACAGGCAAAAAACTGTATTTAGACATTATGGCTTGCCTCTCCTGACTTTAGGTGACTCAGTTAGGTTCAAGTGACCTAGAAGCCCTTTATAATTACTGCAGTAAAACATACTACTCTACAGGGTGATTTATCAGACTTTAATACTAGACATTTACATTAGGAAGATGTGATTTGTGTCCTAGAATTCTTCAGGTACATACACACACACACACACAAGCCAATTTAAACCAGTACCGAGTTTAAAAGCATATTTCTGTGATTTTTCTCCCACCTATTATGACTACTAAGTCTGACTACAGAGACTTCTAATAAAGACATTATGAAGTTAAATTTTTAACTGCTTTGATTTGTAGAGGTTTACTACTCTGTGCAGGTAGTGTCACTCTCTATAGCATTATTTACTCGATGCTGTTGGATGACGAAGTACTGAACTGGGTGACAAAGAATATAAAATATTCCCTAAATAAGAAACAGAAGCTAGAAGGTAATGATTATGTAACTGAACATAATACTAAACTATTTTAGGCTACCATAGACTCATAGAATAGTTAGGGTTGGAAAGGACATTAAGATCATCTAGTTCCAACTCCCCTGCCATGGGCAGGGACACCTCGCACTAAACCATGTCACCCAAGGCTCTGTCCAACTTGGCCCTGAACACCGCCAGGGATGGAGCATTCACAACCTCCTTGAGCAACCCATTCCAGTGCCTCACCACCCTCACAGTAAATAACTTCTTCCTTACATCCAATCTAAAATTCCCCTGTTTAAGTTTTAACTTGTCACTACAGTCCCTAATGAAGAGTCCATCCCCAGCATCCCTATAGCGCCCCTCCAGATACTGAAAGGCTGCTATGAGGTCTCCACGCAGCCTTCTCTTCTCTAGACTGAACAGCCCCAAATTTCTCAGCCTGTCTTCATATGGGAGGTGCTCCAGTTCCCTGATCATCCTCGTGGCCCTCCTCTGGACTTGTTCCAACAATTCCATGTCCTTTTTATGTTGAAGACACCAGAACTGCACACAGTACTCCACGTGAGGTCTCACGAAAGCAGAGTAGAGGGGCAGGATCACCTCCTTTGACCTGCTGGTCACGCTCCTTTTGATGCAGCCCAGGATACAGTTGGTTTTCTGGGCTGCCTATCATAAAAAGCACTGTAAGTTAATGTCAGATCCAGAAATTTATTTAAAGAATAGAAATGAAAAGGACAGGATGTAATAGAGGGTACTTACATTCCAGAGCCAAGGAATGTAGAACTTACTGCTTCTTACACTGACAGTTTACAAACAGATACATATGTATACATAAACTGCATGCTATGTTTTATGATTAGGCAAACAACAAGTGTCTATATAAATACATGTAGTTTATCAAATAAATTCATGTTACTTTGATGATTAATTTTGCTCCTTCATTGTCTGACTTATTTTGGTATTGATGACACATAATGTATGCTGTTATTGTTTCAAGTAGATATTATTTTATACAAATACATAAATGGAAATATCTTTGGACACCATTACTGATATTAGTGAACATTACTCACCCTGCCACTTTCCATGGACTTAGTGTCTACATACATACTTTTAAATAACAATCTTACATCCAACATAACCCCCATAGAACTTTTCATTCTCCAATTATAGTTTAGATACGTATATATTTTAATCTTAGAACATCCTGATCTGTTTCCTTTAACAAACAAAAAATACCATCTGTTGTGAGAATGCACATGAAAGCATACTCAGATTTTAATTATACATCTCATGGCAAAATGCATTCAAGAATGGGTCTAGGGACGGACACATAAAATATTCCAAAACCAGACAGCAATGATTTCTTCTGCATGACTTGGTTTCTGTAAATGAAAATGTGTGAGCTTGGGATTTGTAAAATCTACGACTATCACCATTTTTTTCAAGTTATAAGGAAAAATATTTGCAATACGGTAAAATTTCACATGGTAGCAAAGCAGTAATTGAATTTAATTAGATTTACACATCAGTCAATGCTTCCAGTCTGAAAAAAAAATGTTTTCAGGAACTGAGTGTTCTAACTCAAACAAGTTCCTCAACAGGAATGACCTAAAGGCCAAGAAGATGAAAAGATAATCACAGTAATATTAGGACAATTTTTAAAAGGCATATGTGACAAATAACACTAGAAAAGCGAGAAATAAAAATAGAAAAGCTTAACTTCTCTCGATGAGTGACATTTCCGTTACTAATTACAAACTGTTTATTTTTTAATTATTGATCGCTAAGAATTAAAGAAAATATGTTTGATTTTTTATAATGATCATAATTTAGTTAAAAGACCTTTTAGTTTCTCTTACTTTCTCTTTGCTTCATATGTGAAACTCTGCTTTAAATTTCACATAGTAGTACATTTCTTAATATTTTAATTTAGAAGAGCTTTTCTTCAATGATACCAGTAAATCTCCACGGTTTAATGTTTAACTCAATTTTCTCATTTTTCACTCCAAGAAAGCTGTATTTTTATACATTTAATATATGTTTCCACACATTCATGTTTAACAATCCTGACATTTACACTAACCGAAGTCAAGATAACACAATATAATGTATAACACATAAAAATGCAGAATCGAAATTTATATATAGAAATTTCTGTAAAGATCTACATACGTTCTCGTCACATCTTGTTCAATCATTGCTCGAAGCTCTTTATCCTGGAAAAATTTATTCCAAAGACTCTAAAATAAGGAAAAATAATTGTATGAAATAGAGACTTCTACTAATAGTTCAGGCTAATATACTACATCAGCAAAGTACTGCACAAATATTAACTAATTAATCCTCAAAATTCCTGGTAGAGTGGTATATCAGTATTGGTATATATGTTGGTGACCAGCCCAGTGAAGTAACATTTGTGAATCAGCCCAATGAATCTGAGAAAGTCAGTTTAGATCAGAGATGAAAACATTCAAGTCCCTGGATCCTTGTTCTAGGCTCACTCCATTTGCTCACTGGATGGTTGGTCTGTGAGTTACTTGTAAGGGATCTACGAAGACTGTTTATAAAGGCAGAGTAAATTAAAACTTACTAGAACCAGCAGGTCAACAGAAAAGAATTCAATAGTTCATGCCTGGAAAAGAAAGGTACCGTACTGTACTACATTCCTCCTATGAATGCATGTGCTTTAAATGAATGCTCCTATAATTTCCATACTAAGAAATTGTTTGGAATTAAGCTAGTTTGTCTTGGTGGAGGCATATGAAGATGACATACTTCTAATGGTACATATACACAGGGCAAGTCAAGACTAGCCATTCTAAAAAAAGTTCTGGTAGGGAAAACCAGGATATTTAAAGCTCACTGTTGACACAAAAGAAAGTAACAAACAAATAAATAAATCAGTGAGTTCAAAGTAGGTTTAGTTTCTTCTGTATGTGTGCTTATGATGATTTCCATTTTTGTTCTTTGGTTTCCTTGCCTTGTTTACCAATATTTTGCAATAACTAACCTGAAAGAAGTCAGCAAATGTTGTTGTCTGTATACTCCAGAAAAAAGTATTCCAAAGCCTATTCTTTATTGTAATGAGATGGTAGCTTGGCCATAGTGAACAAAATCTATAGCAGACTTCTAATGCAGGTTAGTTTTCAGATAGCAACAGCACCAATGAATGAAATACTGTACAAAGAGAGCTGATACAATACTTCCAGAATTGCAGAAACAATTCATTACCATGGTGGCTTATGATCCACAGAAAGGAAAGTAAATTAGTGTTATCTAGCAGAAGGTAAAATAACAAAAACCAAGTTAATTGGCTTCTATATTTGTGTTACAAACTATGAAAAAAACCCCTAAACTTTAACAGTAATCATATACTTGAAAATGTCTTATGTAAAACCAGTATCTTTTTAATTCACAGCTCTTTTCATGCAGCTAGGTCACATTTTTAAACTTCCCTGCCCCTGCTCCCATCCCAGTCCATCAGAGAAAAGCATAAAGGAAACAGAATCTGCACACGAAGAGGAAACAAAACCCAGGACACTGAAAGGGTAAAACATTAAAGTCACTGCAGAGGCTCAAAGACACTTTGCTCTCCATTCCTATGCCTGATTTGGACTATGGCTTTGTTTTATAGATGAATTTGCTGCCACATACTATGACATGTCAAACCTTGTCTTCTAAAAGACATCACAGGCAGAAAGAAGGTTAAGCCACTGTGCATGATCCCAAACTAAAGCAGAAATAGAATCACAGAATAGTTAGGGTTGGAAAGGACCTTAAGATCATCAAGTTCCAACCCCCCTGCCATGGGCAGGGACACCTCACCCTAAACCATATCACCCAAGGCCTTGTCCAACCTGGCCTTGAACACCGCCAGGAATGGAGCATTCACAACCTCCCTGGGCAATCTATTCCAGTGCCTCACCACCCTAACACGAAAGAATTTCCTCCTTATATCCAATCTAAACTTCCCCTGTTTAAGTTTTAACCCATTACCCCTTGTCCTATCACTACAGTCCCTAATGAAGAGTCCATCCACAGCATCCCTGTAGGCCCCCTTCAGATACTAGAAGGCTGCTATGAGGTCTCCACGCAGCCTTCTCTTCTCCAGGCTGAACAGCCCCAACTTTCTCATCCTGTCTTCATATGGGAGGTGCTCCACTCCCCTGATCATTCTTGTGGCCCTCCTCTGGACTTGTTCCAACAGATCCATGTCCTTTTTATGTTGAGGACACCAGAACTGCACACAATACTCCAGGTGAGGTCTCAATAAGAGCAAAGGGGCAGGATCAACTCCTTCGACCTCCTGGTCACACTCCTTTTGATGCAGCCCAGGATACGGTTGGCTTTCTAGGCTGCAAGCGCACACTGAAGCCGGCTCATGTTCATTTTCTCATCGACCAGCACCCCCAAGTCCTTCTCCACAGGGCTGCTCTGAATCTCTTCTCTGCCCAGCCTGTAGCTGTGCCTGGGATTGCTCCGACCCAGGTGTAGGACCTTGCACTTGGCATGGTTAAACTTCATAAGGTTGGCATCAGCCCACCTCACAAGCGTGTCAAGGTCCCTGGATGGCATTCCTTCCCTTCCGCGTATCAACCGAACCACACAGCTTGGTGTCATTGGCAAACTTGCTGAGGGCGCACTCAATCCCACTGTTCATGTCAGTGACGAAGATGTTGAACAAGACCGGTCCCAACACCGATCCCTGAGGGACACCACTCGTTACAGGTCTCCAGCTGGGCATTGAGCCATTGACCACAACTCTTTGTGTGCGGCCATTCAGCCAGTTCTTTATCCACAGAGTGGTCCACCTATTAAATTGATGTCTCTCCAATTTAGAGACAAGGATGTCGTGTGGGACAGTGTCGAATGCTTTACACAAATCCAAGCAGATAACATCGACTGCTCTACCCCTGTCCATCAGTTGTGTAGCCCCATCATAAAAGGCCACCAAATTGGTCAGGCAGGATTTCCCCTTAGTGAAGCCATGCTGGCTGTCACCAAGCACCTTGCTGTTTTTCATGTGCCTTAGCATGCCTTCCAGGAAAACCTGCTCAAGATTTTGCCAGGCACAGAGGTGAGACTGACTTCAAATACTTTAAATCTTTCATATTTGACACAACCTTCTGTCCAGCTGGATGCAAGAATGGTTTGAGGGCATGCACAGTCATACTGACTGCAGAGCCACCAACATGCCTATCAACACTTCCGTGTCTCAACAAGAAAATTGTTCTCCTTCTGCATTGAATATGAAGCAGAGTACAACACTACAAACAAAATATCTGCTTCTGTTTGAGAACAAAATGGAAGTATAAATAGTATCACCCATGATACCTGTGATAGTCTTTACAGGTGTAAATCTCTTAATGCAACCAAAAAAATTATTTTCATGGTATTAAGTTGCTCTTAAGTTTGATTTATAAAAAAATCAAAGATGGTTACAACATAAAAGTGTAAAGATACGTGCTTTAAAATACTTAAGAGCTTTTCAGGTATTAGAAAATGCAGTAGAAAACCATCATAAAGAAAAAAAAACAACCACCCAAGCAAAAAAGTTGTTCAAAATTAAGCCCCCAAATCTATGTTAACCCTACTCAAAGTGTCATGACTCTGAAAATTCCAAGCTACTAGGAGATCCTGTTAATTTCAGTGAGTTGGGTGCTCTGCACTTAATGACAGTCAGGCCAAATACTTTTACCATATATTTAGTATTTCTTTAAAATCTGGATCTTTCAATTTGGAGCTGGCTCCTTTTGGATTAGAAAAGAAACTTATTTCATTCAACGATAAAGAAAAAGGAAAACATTGGAAGAAAAGCCTATCTTGCAGCCTGATACTTTAAATATTAACTCAGCACATATACAACTCAAGGTACAGAACAATTCTATTTTTTGCTGGAGAAAAACTTCCAAGGCTGAACAGTCTTCCAGGAGAGGGTTCTTTTGTATTTGCTGTTAACAGCAGGCCCTTCATATTTACTCTTTAAACACTCCTTCGACTAAAGCCATTTTACATATAAAATGAAAACACACAGCAGTAAAAAGGTACATTGGTTAAAGAAAACATATGCTGTGAAATTGGACTTCCAGTCCAGCACTGATTTTTTTTGTTCATCACAACCTCCCTGAAAAACCAGAATAGTAACCTGGAAATGAGCATTTCTGGTTGTTCAGCTGAGCCTGCGAACCAATTGTTAACACAAGTCAGTTTGGAAATTTAGGAAAGAGATATTAGCACCTGCCATTTTGCTTTCCTCAGCAAGAACTCAACTTGTGTCAGAATGATGATGACGATAATGTTAGTAGCACCTGTGCCGACAGAAACAAGGGTCAACTCACCCCCTCATCCTGAGACAGTGGGTTGTTGATTATCAGATCTTGCTGTCCCGCTTTCCGAGGGTTTGTAATGTGCTGGGTAAAAAGAGAAAAAAATCAAATCCTCTTCTGTTATAAGTATTAATGTCTAAGTCAAAGTATGAGAGTAGAGAACCTATTTTGTGCCAACTTACAATTTCTTTGATCTTATTGTAAGAAGTTCTTAAGTCTGAAGTGGTTTTAATCCATTGACTTCTGTCTTGGGGTAGAACCTCCAGAAATAACTATCAACAAAACAAGATGAATCCATTAAGTTTCATAAATTTAACAGAGCTTTTCATATAAATCCTACCAGATAGCATAAACCATCTCAGCAAGGAGAAGCAAGTACTTTACATGTAAGAAGAAGACAGAGACCTATAAGATACCCCTGGCTTTATTATTTTCCTGTCAATAAATATGAAGGCAGAAATAGTAGCAGTTCTACTGTATGAAATAAAGCATTAAAGAGAACTGAAGCCACAAACACAAGCTTTGTAAACTGTCACAACTTCAGAAGACTTGACTTGAGACTTCCAAGGAGAAAGAAAATGCAAAGAAATGAAAATAAAGATACAAAACTAGAAGCTATTTACCGAACATTGATGACCTAATGCAACTTGCTTAAAATGAAGCATGAATGCAGAGCAGAAACTAAACACTCAGAGATATGCTCTACCTAAGAAATGTGGAAAGGGAAAATCTTAATCTATAGAAATGAAACACACTTTAGAATTCTGCAAGACAATTAAGAGAGTCAGTTTTGCAAGAGTCTTTGAGAATGCCTACATCACAATTCTTTCATATTTCTGTTTAAAAATGGTTAGAAACTATTGGAAGATAACTTTGATTTCATAGAAAATAAAGAAGAAACAGAGTATTTTCTTGCTTTTTAAATATTTTTATTTACACATTACAAAGTGTTAAGAAACAGTAAATGCTGACAAACAAAAAACATCCCCAAATTACTAAAAATATTTCAGAACTTAACAAAAACATAGATAATATTTTTAAAACAGGCAGCCTAAACCAGAGCCCTAACCCATATCTGGACATGGAAATAAAACCAACCTGATATCTAAAATAAAACCACTCCTTGGCTTAATTAGTGGACAGTCAAGGACTTGATGCTTTTCTTAGCTCAGGGTTTTGAGTTATGGCCTCCTAATTTAGAAGCACAAGAACAAGCAGGCTGGTAAAATAATGCTTGTGGCATACATTCATCTGGCCTTCTGAAGAAAGTATTTTCATTAACTTTAAATTTGTTCACTGCTACATACATTTCAAATTTCTTTCATTCATATACAAAGAGTATTTTCATTTTCTTTTTATAGGTCTTCATGCCAAAGTGAAGCTTGAGAAATTCCAAGTGAGGTAATTTGAATTATCAGTGCTAACATACAGTAACTCTGCTAGGGAAAATGTACTGTCAGTGCACAAGAGAAGACCTGATGCCAGTGCAACAAAATTATTTTGGACTTTATATAGCATCAAAGAGTATTACTTTGCTTTCTTTCTCTCTTCCTTCTCCTGCAACTTTAAAAAAATATAGTAAGAGACCTCTGAGGACCTGTTGTGTTTTAATATTGGAAGATCTGTCTTCCTTCTCTATTCAGTCTTCACTATCTCATTTCATTGGGAAAAGCTGCTAGCAGAAGCATCAGACTGATTTTAAAGGAGTCCCAAGTTCCACAAAACATAAATTTTGAGACAAAACTTCATTTTTATTTCCAGTGCACAACTTCACTGCAGAGAGACTGTGAGGAGATGGTGTGTGGCACTCAATCCTAAACACACCACCCAGCACAAGGATATTCTTTCCTAGGAATATTTTGCTATCACCTGCAATTCAGCTTTAAGGCAACTCAGTACGATTAGAAAATGTCCTATGAATTATAAAAATGAGTAGGAAAATGCTGGGATGAAGTCTGTCGGAAAATTCATGATTCTTTGCATCAATAATCTTCCAGCGCATCAAGTAATGTGTTGATATATTGCAACCACAAACTGTAAATAAATATTTTCTCTTCTTACCTTCCAGCAAACACTACGGAACCTGCTGCTTCTCAGCTGCCCATTAATCCCCTTCAGCCGTATAGTTGCCAAGTAATTGTTGTTTACAAATAGTTCTTCCCATTCTTTGCTGTGTGCAAAAGCAAAAGGAACGAACATTTAAACAAAAAAACAAGCTTTAACTGATTTAAGGACTATATGACATTACACAATATCAGATAAGCCAGGAAAGGAACTTTTAAAAAATGTATATATTTAGTTGTGTACCACTTCTAAACGCATGGCTGTCTTTTTGGACACATTTCTTCTTTGATTTAATGAATATGTAGATCGCTATAATTATGCCAGCTACTGAAATTCATAATGTCTATGGAGGCTATTCCATTTCCTCTAAAATGTTGGTACTGCAGTTCAGTGAATAAACAAGAAAAATGAATATTAATATAAGCACGTTCATGTTTCAGCTGTAGACAAAGAAGTACCTATTCCAAAAATATGCAACCGAAAAGTATACTGTTGACTGTATTAGCTCCTCACATGACATATTTGCTTAAATGAACCTTCTTTTCTTCCTAATGTCAAGCTGGGCAGTTAAGCATCATAGAAGATGACTTTCTTCAACATTTAGTGCTATTTACTATTGAAATCACTCCTACTTCTTTCTACATGATCAGTTTTAAAATTTTAACAGGTGCTAGCAAATTTAAAAAAAATCAAAAAATTAAAAAGCCTCACTGTATAAACTGTTGAAGGCAAGCTTCAGTACCTTGCAGTACCTATGGCTGACTAGATAAACAACCTAAATATGCCTCCCAGGCATGCAGGCACCAGGGGCCTAACACCTGTGCCTCATTAATATACAAGTAAATAGGCTCTACTGGGAAACAATTGGAAATTAATTGTCCCAAACCATCTACTGAGTTTGAATAAAAGAATGAAATCTGTATTTCCTGCACCTTCTACTGAAATATACAAGAAGAGTATAAGCCGATTGATGGTCTTAGTAGCCCAAGACTTGCTCACAGACTCTGCAACCCCTTTAAAATTCAAAGGGTAATTTCAGTGTAAGAAGCTGGGTTATGTGCAAGAAAATGTGTTTCAGATTTATTTTCAGTCCATGTCCTTAAGGTGAGCATCTCCTTCTCCCACTGTTGCATGGGAGACTATTACTTCTCCCTGGGAGACCAAATGAAACCAGAAAGAGGGAAACTACTACTATGACTCCAGGGTAAGATCTCACTAGATTTCCTTTGCTAAGAAAGGTCACAGAGTGGGTTATAGTGAACACCAATAGAAAAACTCAGGTTTTGCAAGCTGCCCTAAATATATGCAAACTATGGTTAGGTAATTTTCAGCCTTCTAAGCTGAGTTGTGAGGGTGAGTTTTTTTTAAACCTTGTTTTAGGTAAAAATTTCACAGTTCCATAACAGAATTATAAGATACACTTGTGGGGAACAGTTGGGGTACGGACTTGGCAAGCCAGGAAATTATGGTCCTGTTCCTCTGAGATGGAGCAAGCTGAGCTCACTCTTCACACTGAGATCAGAAGCACTGTGTTTGTGAATGCATCACCTTTCAGCTAGGATCATATTCAAAAACAACAAAAAAAGAGTTTTTACTTCTGGGTCTTGATTATTAATGACTTTGAAAAGGAAAGGTCCTCCAGATAAGAACAAAGATGACTAAAACAGTGTTAGCTTGCAGGGCTTAAGGCTACTTTTAGCTTCTGGCAACTGCCAGTATTCTCAAGTGACCAACATAGCAGCAAGTAGTTCCAGTAGTGTTGGGCAGATTCCCTCCTTCCTGCCACATCCCCCATTCTCCTAGTCAGACTCTCTGGCGATTCCACTGTCTCTCTATCTCCCATACATCCTCACCTCCTGCACCAAGCTACCTACAACTGTTTACCATGACTCTGTCTCCTTTAAATACAACGCATGGTATATAGCAGACACAGCTTGAGAAAAATCGGGACCTTTCTTCCACAGCCACTTATACTTCAGTAACTACAGTATATTATGCCTATCTAAGTAACCCTCCTGTTTCTATCATGTATAATATCCTTCAGTTGCCATTGTAAATTTTGTAGCATTATTGGCCATTATAACTACTGCCAAGCTGCCTCCCTAAGGTAGCGATTCTTCAAGAGTGACACATTCCCCTGTGCACACAACAGGTCAGCCTCTGAAGCTATTCACATTGTTCTGCAAGCGGATGACATTCCCAAAACATCTTTGAAAATGCTGGTGTGTCAGCTGAGTTAGCAAAAGGTTTCAACCACTGTAACTGTGAACAGAATGAACAGAGAGGAAAGAAACTCCTCAGGTTATTTTTTTCACCAACTGCTGGGAGTGATTGCTACACAGTGAGAGAGTAATTTCAACACTTCTTAAATGGTATTAGTGCCGATACTGTGCTTTGTCTTCTTCTTCTTCCTTTCTCTCTCTTTTTTTTTTTGTTTTTTTTTTTTTTTTTAATTTGTAATGTGATTCCAAGCACATTTTGCACAAAATTACATTTAAAACAGCCAAAAGAAATTTGGCAAGATCATATCTCCCCTGCACCCCCCTTGGCTGCTGGGATCACTAAAAAGAAAAGTTACAAGCAAACGAAAAAAAAAATAATTATAAAAGACTTGGAAGCTGGAATCTGCTTCAGTTTTAGTAGAGCTGAATGATATCTAAAATCCTTTTGGAACAGCATTGACAAATTAATTTCTTAAATGCTTTGAATGAAGGCTAATAAATTAAGCCTTATAGTTCTAGAGACTTTTTCAATAATAGTAACACTGTGTAATATTAACAAGCTATCAATTCTAAAAGGATTTTTTTTTTTTTTAATGATATAGCCCTACTCTGTAAACTAATACCTATGAGCTTTGTTAACCCAGGCTTGCAGAAAACTCACTGGTCAAAGTGAAATGAGCAATGAAGATTGGAACTCGAGTCTACCACATCCCATTTGCTTCACTGAAGTGAAAGGCTTCAAGAGCCAATTGGAACCACTTAAACTATGAATAAGCACATGCAATTGTTTTTAATCAAACTAGAAAATTAAATGCATAATCATGTGTTAATACCACCTCTAGCTTGTACAGTTAAAACAAAGGCAAATGCCAATGTTAAAGTTTTCTGGTTATTTTTCATTTCATATTCTTATTTAAATATTCTGTCTAATAAGCTACTATATCTATTGCAAAGTCTTCATAATATAAAACCTGCACAAGGAAAAAGTTATTGGATTAATGTTTCTTTTGGAAACTTAAATGTCATATGCTGCACCCGTCCAATGTAAAGTACTTACTGGCATGAGTTAGGGACAGTTGCATTACTCTGAAGTGGGAAAAGTGCTCAATATGTATGAATGAAAAAGCAAGCAAATCAGTGGAAGGGATGAAGGTTACAGATTTGTTCTGAAAGGTTTGTTCTTAGCCCTCATCTGTTCCTTTCCATCTTTTGAAGCAAGCATTTTTGTCATAACTACAAGTTTGAATCTGTCTGCAAAATAATTTTATGCTGGGCTCTGCTCTAGTACACATACTTACTTGCTTATAAGAAATAAGCCTGACCTCCTTGCAAACCATATATAAGCATGTTTATTATCCTTTTTCTTTCCAACAGGACATGATTTGTAGATCTGATGCTTCTAAGACAATTACAAGCATTGGATTTTCTGAGATAAAAGTCAAAAGATTTGGAAGAGAAGTGTATATGTCAACACACTGCGATGAAGAAAGCACAATGAGCAGGACTTTACATCAGAAAGTGTAAGTAAAATTCTACATGCACTTAAATGCCATTTTCGGAAAAGTGTTTTAATCCCCAATGATGCTATATGCTAAAGCATCTTACTAAAGAACACTGGAAAGCCACCATTGCCCAGCCACAGACTAGCAAGCAACTATAAACTCTTTAAAAATGCGTGACACCAATAAAACAAAACACCTGGAAACTAATTCTGGAATTGAAACAGTAGTTTCAGAGTTTTATTGAGGCAACACTTAGATGTGGTAGTGTTGTGAAGAGGTAAGAAAGACTTTCTTACACTAATAGCCTCTGGCTCTGCTGCTAAATTTCAGTCTGCAGCATAATGGCAAAACCAATGCATTGAGCATAGGTACACAGGCAGAAGAATGCAATGGTAGCTCACCTAAGCTCCTTAAAATAAAAAATAAAATAAATAACTCTGCTCAGAAGAGGAAGAAATACCGTGGAGAAAGAGTGGTATAGCACAGCTTGTAACCACTGCTAGTTAACTTCTGCATTTACTGATTTACCGGATAGAGCTGCTGATGGGTACAAATGCAGATACTTCTAAAGGTTAAAGATCTTTTAAGAAGACTTTTTGTACTATGATGTTCAGGCAACATCATAGAATCATAGAATAGTCAGGGTTGGAAAGAACCCTAAGATCATTGAGTTCCAACCCCCCTGCCATGGGCAGGGACACCTTGCTCTAAACCATATTACCCAAGGCCTCGTCCAACCTGGCCTTGAACACTGCCAGGGATGAAGCATTCACAACCTCCCTGGACAACCTGTTTCAGTGCCTCAGCACCCTAACAGGAAAGAATTTCCTCCTTATATCCGATCTAAACTTCCCCTGTTTAAGTTTTAACCCATTACCCCTTGTCCTACAACTACAGTCCCTAATGAAGAGTCCATCCCCAGCATCCCTATAGGCCTCCTTCAGGTACTGGAAGGTCTCCACACAGCCTTCTCTTCTCTAGGCTGAACAGCCCCAACTTTCTCAGCCTGTCTTCATACAGGAGGTGCTTCAGTCCCCTGATCATTCTCATGGCCCTCCTGTGCACTTGTTCCAACAGATCCATGTCCTTTTTATGTTGAGGACACCAGAACTGTACACAATACTCCAGGTGAGGTCTCGTGAGAGCAGAATAGAGGGGCAAACTCTGTGGGAGACACTCAAACCCACAGAAATGTAACAACGCGAATAGGCACATCAAACTACAATCTGTGTCACCGAAAAATGGCAAAGATTCACTCCTGGGACTGTGAGGGCTCAGACCTACCAGGGAAATATTACTGTCCATAATTGTTTTGCTTTTAGTTGAAGCTGTGGGTTAGAAAGAAACCAGTATTATCAAATCATTAACCAGTGTGTATCGAT